TGGTCCTCCTTGAACCAATTTTCCTAATTTTTTTAACACAACAACTCCATGTGCATGACAATATCATTTCTTTTGACTGACAAAATGTAGGACTTCAGTCTCATCTTTTAACTGGGTTGTGGGATTACATATAGACAGCTTCAGGACTTTTGCTTTGTGTTTAGAAACGTCCTCATTAAGATCCAATCCAGGATGAACTTCTATATGTGAACGCTCAGAACGTATGGTTTAACTGTGTGGCCATGGCCATGCTAAAAACTTGTCACTTGGAAAAGAGGCTCTATCTCGAAACTTCTGTATGCCGCCACTGAAAAACCTATATGATAAAGGTGTCCTTGTAGATCTATTAGCCATTTTACTTGTTGCCACGTGATCCCAAACCCAGATCTTATTCTACATCTCTGATCTAAGAGCTCATCGGGCTTCCTGTATCCATTCCCACTAACTTTAACTTTCCCACTAAGGTGGTACTCTCCTCAACAGAGGAGGCAACAAATTAAAAGAAGAAGATTTGATTTCAATGATTTGGCGCCAATTAGCGGATTTCAGTTCACTTCCGTAATTCGGTCAGAGCAGTCGAGCACCACGGAACTCGGGAACTTGGGTTCAGCTTTTAGCAGTATTTTACCCGTCTAGGAAGGCATAAATAAGATGGAATCAAGCACGAAAAAACCTTTTACTTAGTCTTACTATAGTGAAGTAAATAAAATAGGGATTGTTAAGTCATGTATTCAACCAGACCACACCCTCACCATGTCTTCAGATCAGTAAGTTACCGGTATGATTGAACTATGAATTACATTTTGTGTAGGGTTTCCTATCTCTAATGTTTGTGTTGGACTCTCAAGGTTTTAAAAAGAATTGAAAGACCATTCAATGAAAGGTTAATTTTTTTAATTATTAGAACAATTAAATCTGAGGCGTCATGCCATATTATGGTTAAAAGTGGTCAGGTTAACAATTTTAGCATTTAGAGCTAGATTTTAGTGTTTGGGTTTAGTGTTTAGTTCATTCAAATTATATGGTTGAGGGACCACTTTTTGTCAGGAGAGTGGGTACCAAATTTTAGTGATAATTACTTTGTGTAGAATGTAGATGCATTATACTATCAATAAAACACATGTACATTCATATATGTACATTTTAGCCTTTTTTGAACACAATTGTTGGTACTGCTATTAGTAACGCGGTAGCGTTACTAAGTAGGATTCACCCCACTTCAAAATGGCTGCCATGACTTTTGCAGCATTGTAGCACCTGTCCTCAATGTTCTTTTTGAAACACAATTTGTATCATGTATACTCCCTGTCTTAATTACAGATGTTTCCCCACTTCACAAGTACTTTGTATAAGTTTTTCCTTTAAGGCGTAACAAAAGAATAGTTTCCTGAATAAAAAAGTTCTTTTCAGGGTTGTTTGTACTATAAAGATTATACTGTACTTCTTTCACTCTAATAGATCTCCTAGAAACTCATGATATATTGGTACCAGCTAAAATGGATTTCTCAGTATATTAGATGTCAGCTATTGTATGAATGAAGAGAGGGAGAGAATGGTAGCACCAATTGTAGAATTTAAAGAGAGCAATAATGGAAATAAGTTAGTTGTACATGTACATTTATGTTGAATTTGTAATGAAAGTTAATGCATTTTAACTGCTAGATTGTCTTGATTGTTAGTTGTTTTGGAGGTTTCATAATGCAATTACTACCCATTATAGTTAGCCTTTGCATCCCAGTAGGAAAAAGCTCCAAAAATTTCTTTTACATTAGTCAAATTTGTGACTTGATG